CAAGTTTCGTGAAATCGAAAGATATAGGGACTTTGGTACACCATTTACATAAAATCGGACGAAAATATATATGGGAGCTATATCTAAATATGGTTCGATTTTCATGAAACTTGGCAGACATCACTCTAGGCTCAACTCAGTACGTTATGCCAAATTTCGTGCAAATCGAAAGATATATAGGGACTTTGGTGCACCATTTACATAAAATCGGACGAAACTATATATGAGAGCTATATCTAAATCTGGACCGATTTTCACGAAACTTGGCAGACATCATTCTAGGCTTAATTCATTACGCTGTGCCAAATTTCGTGCAAATCGAAAGGTATATAGGGACTTTGGTGCACCATTTACATAAAATCGGACGAAACTATATATGAGAGCTATATCTAAATCTGGACCGATTTTCACGAAACTTGGCAGACATCATTCTAGGCTTAATTCATTACGCTGTGCCAAATTTCGTGCAAATCGAAAGGTATATAGGGACTTTGGTGCACCATTTACCTTAAATCGGACGAATATATACATGGGAGCTATATCTAAATCTGAACCGATTTTTTCCAATTTCAATAGGGTTCGTCCTTGGGCCAAATAAGTGAACTGTGCCAAATTTTATCCACATCGGATCATAAATGCGACCTGTACTTTGTTCTCAAAAATACATGGACGAACGGACAGACGGACATGCGTAAATCGACTCAGAAAGTGATTCTATGCATATTCTCAAAAGGAACTATGGATCTATCTCGATTCCTTTTGCCTGTTACAAACATATGCACCAAGACATAATACCCTGTACCATAATGTAATGAAGGGTATACAAAAATATTATTTTTAAAAATACACTCTTAAGGTATGTCCTTAAGGATATATTTGTTTTAAAAATGTAAAAATAGCCCTTGAAAATAATGTTTTAATCTATGCTCATAATAATCCTTAACCAAATATATATTTTGTTTTTTAATTTCACGCTTGTCCTTGATTCTTAGCCAATATATATATTTTTTAATGTACGACCTTTTTACCTTGACACAATATTAAAATAATAAAAAAATCGATGCTAATGGTTGGTCTTTCTTTACACGGTCTTCCAACACCAGGACTAACTATTTCACTGTAACTACCAATTCATCCTCTTCTTAGGTTAATTGCTATTGGAATTTACGTGAGTATTCATTTCGTATGTCTGTAAAAAGTATCGGATTACAAAATGTGACATTGGTTGTCGCTCTTTGTTTTCTTTTACATTTTTGTTAATGTTGGAACTTAGATTGCAAGCAAGCAAGCCAGCCAACCAAACAAACGTCTAACAGGCCAATTATCACGGCACATAAATGTATACACATGCATACATACACACCATAATAAGAATGTAAACAAAAACAATGAATTTTTCTGACTGACCGACTCGAAGTGGACAAACAGCTACCGGAGGCAATGAGAACGGTGAGTGAAACGATTATGTCTCAGTCATTTCCTCCTCTGCACATGTTCTCTTTTAGGGAGCATCGTATTGGCGCTCGTTATCTCTTGAAGAATGAGTATTTCACTCTAAATAGGGATGTCGATGTGGGATATATTTTCTCAAAGTCTATATAAAACGTGAATTTTTTTAAAAATATGTTATCATCAAAAATATATGAGCCTTGGATTTTTGAAAAATATTTTTTAAGGACTATATGAGGTGTGGAGTTTTTATAAACACTCTTCCAAAGACTACATGAGGCGTGGATTTTTTAAAATATTTGTTCAAGGACTATATGAGGTGTGGAGGTTTTAAAAATAATTTTCAATGACTATATGAGGCGTGGAAGTTTTAAATATTTGTTCAAGGACTATATGAGGCGTAGAGGTTTTAAAAACATTTTTCAAGGACTATATGAGGCGAGGAGGTTTTAAAAACATTTTTTCAAGGACTATATAATTTGTGGATTTCTCAAGGACCTAATGTCGCCTGATTTTTTTTTAATAGTTCTTCTATATGAGACCTGGATTCTTTAAGAATAGTTTTTCAAGGCCTATATGAGGCGAGGAGTTTTTAAAATAGTTTTTCAAGGACTATAAATGACCTGTATTTTTTAAAAATAGTTATTCAAGGCCTATATGAGGCGGGGAGTTTTTAAAAATATTTTTTCAAGGACTATATGAGGCGTTGATTTCTATATTTTACACAACAATGTTGTCAGGGTATTTCACCTTTGTGCAGCCCCAAAAATTTGTAACGCCGCGAAATATTGGTCCTAGACCCACCTTTAATTATACCGATCATCATATCTCGACTAGCTGAGTCCATCTAAACATGCAAACACGATACCGACCACTGTTATGGATAAATCTTCTGCCCAATGAAGACAGCTATTTTTTGGTAAAAATCGGTTGATATACTTTCTGGTCACTCCAGAGGCCGCAAATTTGACGCATAGCGTAACTATTTTGATAAAGATCGGTCAAAATTTAGCGGGTCAAATGGACCGAGACTTTCGAGTGAAAAATTACAAATTTTGTATTCAATAGCGTATATATTTAACCCTGAAGGACATAGACCCGAAAAGTAGATATTATAAATAGGAGTGATTTACCTTGAAATTGGTATCAATTATATTGTCGTATGTACTCGGATGTGGGTACGTATTATATTTATATATTATTTAGTAACCCACACTAGAGCCCGGGCCACAATTTAAAGCCGAACATCACAACACAACCCATGGTGAAGGGAATCTGGATATGTAATTAGATGAGCTGAATATTAGTAATATTTGTTGACCTCTAGTGTGTCATGACTTATGAGGGTGCAAATATCGGGAAATATTGCCCAGTCTCAAAATATAGAAGCACAGAATGTTAGATTTTCGTGTAAGTTGTGTGGGGTATCATATGGCCAGCCCGGTCCGACCATACTGCTCCGCTCACTGGGCGTGGAACTGTATGATTAATAGAACTATATTCATTATAGGCTTGGGTTTAAAAAAATATTTTTTCACGGCGTGGATTTTTAATATTTTGTTCAAGGGTGAATTTTTAAGATTTTTTTCAAGGACTATTTTAAGAATTATTTGAATAATATGCATAGATTTTTAGAAATATTGGTCTAGGACCAATATTTCTCTGAAATATTGGTCCTAGACCCACCTTTATGCATACCAAACGTCAAATCTCGACTAGCTGAGTCGATCTAGACATCTGTGTCCGTCCATTATATTTTGTAAACACGATACAGTTATGGACCAATCTTCATGAAATTTTGCATGTAGGATGGGTTCTGGCCTATGAAGACCCCTATTGTTTTTGGTAATTATCGGTTAATATTTAGTGGATGTAATGGATCAAATACTTTATTTTTGTCGGTTTTTCTGGTCGCTCCAGAGGCCAAACATCGCAAATGTTGGCATGGAGAAGGGGATCGGCCCAAGGAACAAGCATACTTGTTTTGATAAAGATCGGTCAACATTTAGCGGGTCAAATTGACACATACTTTTGTGTGAAAATGACAAAATTTGTTTTCTATGGCGTATATATTTACTCATGAAGGACATAGATCCGAGAAATTGATAGTATATCCAAGATTGATACTTTTAAATTGATACCAATTATATTGATCTATGTGATCGGATGTGGAAGTTACACTTAAATATTTACAGGTGCTTATGTAGTCAGATATTATTTAGTAACCTATTAGCACACTGTAGGGCGGAAATATAGCACTGACCGCTTTGAAATTTTTTATTAGGTTGCGGTCATGGTCAAGGACAACGCCTATAATTTTCGACGATGATCAGATAATAATTTTGGATGAAGTGGACCAAAAACATAATTTTTTGTGTTTTTTTTTCTAGTCGATCTATATGCCCCAATTATAAGCCGAACATTACAACACGACCCACGGTGAAGGAAATATAGACAAGTGTAGAAGGACTGTACTGAATATTAGTAATATTCGGAAAATATGTCAGTGTAAGGAAGAGGTGCTGTTGGCCTCATATCGGGAATGAGGGTGCAACTCTAACGAACTATTGCTCAGGTTCGGAATAAAACTTTGCAGAATATTAGAGTTCCATGATAGTTGTGTAGGGTATCGTATGGTCGGCCCCGTCCGACTATACTGCTCCGCTCACTGGTTTTAAGATCAGTTGTTAAGATTTGTCGTAGATTTTTTTATAGAATATTTTTCTAAGGACCATCTGAACAAAAGTCGTAAATTTTTAAAAGAATATATTACGCAATAATATTTTTAATTTCCTTGTCATTAGCGTATATATATGTGTAAATTTTACATTCATTTCATTCTGCAATCGCCGTTGATTGTCAATAATGAATGACCTACACCAAATCGATAGCCGTTGACCAGTCCATAACCATGAACATTTGATCATTCAAATATTGCCAGCTATTGTCTATTAAGGACATGAATACATACATATATTGCACACAGCCATGCATATTGGCCGCAACAATGTGCAATGGGTTTTCGGAAGTGTGAATATGTGCGTGTGTCTGTGTACAGAATACACGTTATCTTCTTTTGACCATTTAATGGACATTTTATGTTTCATGTGGGAGTTGTTGTGCAATTTCTTAAAGTTCGACAGCTATGTTGTGCCACCATGACTGCTATAGCATTGACTTTTGTTTGTGTACAACAAATATATGTATAAAATATACACACACACACATACACATATTTATTGTTATATTCTTATCGCAATTCACACAAAAGGTCAATGGGAATGCAATGCACAATAATTGGCTTTAAGATAATGGTAGATTTTATAGAAAATTTTATGAATTTTGGAGCGCCGGAATTGTAATGTGGTCTCTAACCGGTATCATAAGATCAGGGGCCTAATGCTCGTACTCGATATCGAGTTGTTTCGATAGATAATTTGAATTTTTGGATTACCGTATCCGTGATCGAATAAAATTTATCGATATGTCGAATAAAACTATTCGAGTTTTTGCCCGCCACATTCTACCTGCCGAGACCAAAACAAAACAGAAGAAAAACGAAATGTAAGTATTAAAAAATGTAATTATATAAATAAAATATAATAATTCAGCCTTTTATTCCACAGGAGCACGAATTGTAACAAAATAAATTTTAAGCAAAAGGCAATTATGGCAGATTTTATGTCTGACCACCCGGGACTTGCCAAAGGAAAAATTTCGAATTGTCCAGAAGGTAGAGCGTCATCCAATCGTTTGTGGGAGCAGTTAACAACCAAATTTAATGGAGCAGGACCACCCGTAAAGAATGTCACCTTGTGGCGAAAGGTATATATTGAAAAGTGGTATGAAAAATTATGTTTCACAGTTTTCCTTTCCAAGGTTTATGCAGACCAAAAACAAAAAGTTAAGAAGAAATTATCTTTTAACAAGGCATCAAAGAATCAGACAGGTGGAGGCCCATATGAAGAAAAACTCCTCACCCAATCAGAAGAGCTGATACTGGAAGCAGCAGGATTATCAGCGGCTGTAGAGGGGCTTTCTTCAGTCCAAAGTTTTGGTGCAAAAAAAAGGAGTGGAAGTGGATAGGAAGGAAAACGACGAGGAAGAACTGATGGATGTAGAAAATGATATGGACTGCAGCATTGGTTCCACTGTGCCTTCATCTACTCAACGTCGTACCAAATCAGCCTCCAAGATGGATCTTTTGAAAGAGAATATAGAAAAACACGATGAAGGGATGCGCGAAAGGAAGTTGTTTTGGGATACTCTAATGGATTGTAAAAAAAAGTCCCTCAAAATTAAAGAGGAAACATATAAATTGAAAGAAAGATCTTTAAAAATAAAGGAAGAAGAGCATAAGTCAAATATGGCTATAAATAAGGTCGAGCTTGAGATTAAAACGTTGGAATTGAATTTGCTGAAACAAAAGGCCGATTTGTAAGAAAAAAAAGTTTGTATATTTTTACCTGTATATTACTATGGACTTTTCTAGTAACCCATGTACCTTACCATAAAATAATGAAATGAATAGCTTTGTTTATTTATAATTACACTAGAATGTATTAATTGAATTAGTTTTGTTTTTGTTGATTTTTTTTAATAAAATATTTATTTTTACATAGATTGGTACAAAGATGTTTTTATTTGGTTTCGTATTTTTTCACCAATCTTATTGGGTTGTGTATGGTTAGATGTTTCCACTTCCATTGTGACAGATTCGATATTAAAATCCTTTTCGGTATACATAGGCACTTTAAATTTGATACAAATGTTGTGCAGGGCAGCACATACATTTCCGAATAACGCCATTTTTACAGGGGAATATCTACTTCTTCTGTCATGGCAAACAATTTTCCATCTGGCCTTCAGTATACCAATGGTTCTCTCTACTATACATCTGGCTGATGAGTGGACCTCATTAAATTTTGATTCAGGTGACCCATCGGCAGGATTCCTATACGGTGTAATACACCACGGCTCCAGAGGATACCCTGAGTCTGCTGCATAGCAAAACAAACGTGTATTTCATTAACTAAAGCATGAATCAGAAAACATACCTAAAAGCCACCCGTTTTTGAAGCTGTTGTTTGTGTACATTTGTTCCAACAATCGCCTTTCGTCGGAATGCTTCCAAACGAAGGAATCGTGTGCTGCCCCTCCATATTTTGAAAGTATCGCCGTAATTATGTGTTGGTGATCACAGATCTGCGTGAATTAAATAAGATTTCTATATTAATATGTAATGAAAATAAATTTAATTAAAACTTACAATCATGGAATTTAGACTATGGTATCCCTTTCGGTTGAAGAACATGTGTTCGTTTTCGGTGGGTTTCTGCAATCCAAAATGTGTTCCATCTACACATCCAATTACTAAAAAATGTAAAAATGCATATATTTTATTTTAGAATCGAAAAAGTCAATATATTCTTACCTCCAGGAATCCGAAACTTTGTACAGAAATGTTCCATACACAAAGCCGACTGGTCTGGTGAAAAGTTGATGTGTTCTGGACAAAGCTTTAGTTCCATTTCTTTTGCGACTCGCTGGACAACCCTGCAGGTTGCGCTTTGGCTCATTCCAATCAGAAAATCATTACCCACAGTGTGCTGAAAACTTCCACTGGCCAAGAGTGATAAAGTTGATGCCAATTGTAGAACTGCCGGAATGGACGATGACATATGTCCGGAGAAATCTAGTCTAGATAACACATATCGAAAAGCTTCTTTTGTCAGTCTAAATCGTTGACGGAATCTGCAATGAATTGCAAAAATTATAAACACCACACTTGCATGCATTTTCTTATTATACTTACGCATTTTCTGACAATGATAAGGGGTCACTACGTTCTCGAATTTGTCTTCTTATTATTTTTATATTATTACCGTCCTCATCTTCCGAAGAGGATAATACAAAAAAACACGTATCCATATTTTTTTTTCAACTTTTAATGAAGCGGCAAACAATTGTTTTGTTTACTTTTTTTGGATGAAAACATATGTTTCGATTGTGGGTATTTCGATTATTTTTTGACAATAATCGAAAAATTTTTGAATAATTCCATTCGAATCATATCATTCAATTAGTAACTACGGATCGTAATTTAACTTCGAACAAAATCTCACTCTATATCGAGTACGAGCATTAGGCCCCAGGATTTATTTACCACACCTAAATCAAGGATTGCAAAATTGCATATGAAGCGAACTTTCAGCCACTACAATGGGAATAGACGGCTAAACCCTTCAAGATATTAATAATATATATATATATCCTGTTTATATGAATGACATCCTTTACGATCCCTTTGTACTAAATCGTTGGGAAAATAGTCTTTTATATTTAAAGATGAAATATATATGCACATATACTAATTATTCTTCAATGTGTTAAAGTGTTATACACACATATATAATTTATATGTTTATGTGTGTATTTTGTTGTAACATAAATAAATCATAATAATAATAATAGTTATGTTTTCTCTCAGAGCCCAGTCAGACCTTCATGGCTACCTAGAAATGTTGCACACACACACCCAACAATATTATACAAACACAGACACTCACAACAAAGCCACTGATAATAGCTCATATTATATACATAGAAACATGCAAATAGAATCAACGATAATGGTTGTAAAATGTCCTTTTCAGCAAGAGACGACAAATATCCTTTTTCTTTATCCTAGATAAAATCAAATCAAAATCTTATTCACATGCACAATTTGCCCAACAATATAATGCTCGTATATAGAGCAGACTGGTCTTTTATTGGACATACGTGTATGTATGTGTGCTGCTTAATGTCTATTCTATAGAAAGCAATTGCTTTCAAATGAATGCAAATTTTCTGTTATATAAAACATTAACAATATGAATATTGAAAAAAATGTATTTCATATATGGGAAATGCAAAAAAAGACACACTAATGGATTTCAAGTACAATTTTAAGTGTCGTTGGTATAAAAATCCATTGCTGGAACGATCTGAATGGGTAATACAACAAAACACAGGTAGCCAGTGAAAGGAGAGAGAGAGCGAGAGGAGATACAGGGAATCGTTGGAGGAAGTTCTAAAAGCTGTTGCAGTTGCATCGAAAGCAGTAGAGCATAGCATAGTTTGTGATGTTGTTGTAGATATCACTTTCAATGCTTCTTCTTTTTTCGGAATGGAATGTTGTTGCATGTGCCACATGAGATGCGCATGTTATGGACAATCTTGATATATGTATGTACCACCAAAAACGAATCACACATGACACAAATGCGAAAGAATAAAATAAATAGAGTGAAAAAGAATTTGTCTTTTTCACTGTTAACATGCATTTTTTTAACAAATGGGGGGAATTGCACGCGAGAATAGGACCAAAAGTGGAGGGAAATGTGATTGATATGTACAGGGAGAAAATATTTTAAAAAAATCCACGACTTGCAGGGAACCGGAAAAATATTTTAAAAAATCCACGCCTTGCAGGGAACCGGAAAAATATTTAAAAAAATCCACGCATTGCATGGAGCCGGAAAAATATTAAAAAAATCCACGACTGTATTAAAAACCAGCAAGGAAAGTAGTAAAGTCGGAATGGGCCGACTATATTATACCCTTCACTGCTTTGGGTATATTGTACATATGTATCCTAACAATTGCATGCTATGTTCCCTCTTTCTCCAACCTATCCTAACTTTAATTTCATTCGAGCAGATTTGGAGCCGTCTGCGTATATGCCAACCCTTGTGCAAATCAAAGCATATAAAGAGACTTTGGTACACTATTTACCTAAAATCGGACGAAAATATATATGGGAGCTATATCTAAATCTGAACCGATTTTCACAAAATTTAACACACAACGTTCTAGACTTAACGCTGTGCCATATTTCGTGCAAATCGAAAGATATATAGGGACTTTGGTACACCATTTACCATAAATCGGACGAAAATATATATGAGAGCTACATCCAAATCTGAACCGATTTTCAGGAAACTTGACACACATCCTTCCAAACCTAATTCATTACGCTGTGCCAAATTTGGTGCAAATCGAAAGATATGTAAGGACTTTGGTACACCATTTACCTTAAATGTATATGAGAGCTATATCCAAATCTGAACCGATTTTCCGGAAACTTGACACAAATCATTCTAGACCTAATCCATTACGCTGTACCAAATTTCGTGCAAATCGAAAGGTTTATAAGGACTTTGGTACACCATTTACCTTAAATCGGACGAAAATATATATGGGAGCTATATCCAAATCTGAACCGATTTTCAGGAAACTTGACACACATTATTCTAGACCTTATCCATTACGCTATGACAAATTTCGTGCAAATCGAAGTATATATAGAGACTTTGGTACACCATTTACCTTAAACCGGACGAAAATATATATGGGAGCTATATCCAAATCTGAACCGATTTTTAGGAAACTTGACACACATCATTCTAGACCTAATTCATTACGCTGTGCCAAATTTGGTGCAAATCGAAATATATATAGGGACTTTGGTACACCATTTACATTAAATCGGACGAAAATATATATGGGAGCTATATCTAAATGTGAACCAATTTTTTCCAATTTCAATAGAGTTCGTACTTGGGCCAAATAAATAACCTATGCTAAATTTCATCCAATTCGGATTATTAATGCGACCTGTACTTTATTTACAATTTAACAACGACAGACAGACGGACGGACGGACATGCATAAATCGACTCAGAAAGTGATTATATGCATATTCTGAAAAGGAACCATGTGTCTATCTCGTTTCCTTTTGCCTGTTAAAAACATATGCACAAAGACATAATACCCTGTACCACAGAATGGTGAAGGGTATAAAAATCCGGTTCCATGCTAGGTGTGGATTTTTTTTAAATATGGTGACAGATACAGGATCTGTAAGGAGCAAAACGTCTGGTATCAAATAATAGCGGTGATGAGGATACCCCAGAACCAATAATAGATGACGGTATAGAGAGTATACCACCTAGCCAAGATGAAGTCAGAATAGCAATTGATGAAGTATAATAAAGCAGCAGATGCCGGTGGGTTACAAGCCGAACAATTCAAGACTGGTGGTCAAATGCTGGTAAGGAGCAGCTGATTAGTACAATTTGGCTAGAGGAAAGCATGCCCAATGATTGGAACCTCAGCATTCTGTGTCCCGTGCACAAAAAAAGGAGAGAAGAGAAGAGAAGTCCACCATTGACCAGATTGTCACTTCTGGAAAAGACCCACGAAAAACATATCGACACAT